CACAGCCCGCCGCGACGTGCGGGTCCCCGCTCGTTAGGGAGAACGTTCTCATCTCTGCGGTGGCGGGGTGAGGTGGAGGCCTGCGAACAGGTCGTGAGGGCAGCCCGGGGAGGTGTGGGCTGCCTTACCGCTGTCCCTGCGGCACCAGGTTGGACATCTGGTCAGGAGGGTGTCACCGCCGACACAGCCACGGGCTGCCCTGGTACGGATGTGCAGCCTGCGCTGGGCTCCGCGCCGCCCTGCTACGTTGCAAGCGATGGAGGAATGAGCTGCTTCCCAGGCAGCCTGGCTATCCGTGTGGGCTGCACGCACGCACGCTCCTGCTAAAACCGTTATCCCGCACCTCCAAAATCAGCATTCCAGGTAGGAATGACCCATCCGCCCGTAGTCACGTGCCAAAACCTCCCACCTTCTCCCAGCGGTGCTTTGTAACAAAGGGTCCTTTTCAATACCAAACTCCCTAGCGTGTTGTGAATTCAAACTGCTGGACAGGACAAAATAGATTAAAATTAATCCTAGATTCCGTGTGGCGAGGGAGGCAGCGGTGGGTTCAGTGTCAAACAACGGTCAGTACAATCCCCCACTCCTTCTTCTGGCTGAGACAGCTGCAAAATGTCTGGTCTGCAATGTCCTGGGGCCCAGCAATTCGCAAGAGACCACAATTCGGGGGATTTCGGAGGCAAGGCCAGCGGTGTGAATTGCCCTCGTAGCAGCCATGCTGTTGCAGTTGTGAAGGACAGGAGCACGGCAGGGGTTATGGGGAGAGAAGTATTTCATTAGACCAGTTGATATAGCTGGAAAATGTTTCAGGCATAATGTCTTTTCTCAAACCTCTGAAACCGCACTTGATTTTTTTTTTTCCCAGCTGCATCAGTCAATTTAGTAGAAGATGTCACCTTTCCTCCCTTGTAAACAGCGCCTGGGCGCTGGTGGGAATCACGTTCCCTCTGGACAGAGGAGGTTGGTGCCTGGGCGTTTGGACTGCCAAGCGCCCGTTGCAGGGTGTCGGAGAGCTCTGGGTCCGTGCTGAGCACCAGCTCTCGCCCCCACGCCTCATGGTGGGCTGTCAGGTGCCTTTTCAGCCTGGCAGAGCCCTTGCAACCCCAAGCGAGCTTTGCCTCCTGGCCTCACCGACCTCCCCGCTCTGCCTGCCTGCGCAGGCAGCCGGGAGAGCCGCAGTGGTGCGTGCTGTTTGCCCGAGCGCACACGGGGCATGAGAGCAGGGGGACGCAGGCCTGCAGCTCCTGCTGTGGAAACGGCAGAGATCGCGGCTCTGCAGAGTGCCTGGCATTGAGGCAGGGAAAGCTGCTGTCAATGTGCTGCAGACGGACCGACCCGGGTCCCCTCTAGCTCAGCCGTGCTTTGCTCCTGCTGCTAGAAGTGCAGCCAGCACTTACCCATTGCAAGCTTCCTATCCTGCGTCCCTTCCCATCCACCTCCTTCCAGCGCCTAGCCCAGCGCTTCTCCCGTAAAGGGCATTGGTAGGGTAAGAAACAGAAAAAGAAAGCAAACAGCCTGGGTATGAGGCACTGGGTTGGTTCCAGAGGACCCTGTGGCCAGTTACACATACCTGTGGCTTCAGAATCACACATCTGTCTTGAATTTCAAGAAAATGACCTCACCTGCCACTAATATTGCAAGCGTGACAGCACCTCAGGCAGAATCAGAGCCGGATATACATCCTTTTCTTCCCCCTCTGCCACGTCCTAGTGTTGCTCAAAACGTCTTCTCTAAACTAAACACAGAAATTAGAGATGGAAAAAACCCAACCCTCAATCCCATCTTGTCCGTTCATTCAGCGTGTAGAAGATTGCTTTGTCCTGCACAGGTTTGAAATATCCCAATCAATAAAATGTTCATTGCTTCTCCTGCGGGATTATTCTCCAGCCTTATCGCACATGTATGGCACGTCTGCATGGGGGAATAGACCAGAATAGTGCTCTCAGCTCTGCCAGTATAACTCCACGGTGTTGACAGTGTATTCCAAAATAAAAGTGATTTATTCTCAAATAATCAGGGAGTTCTGTGACAGTTGTGCTGGTCAATCTCCCTTGGCAGAGCTTGTCTACAGCATGGGAATGGTTCTGACAAGTGCTTTGAATAAAGGCTTGCCTAGGTGCAAAAACCGACGGGCAGAGTTAGCCGTAGCCCTGCCTGCCGACCTGCCTCACAGGGATGCTCTGCTCTGGGGGAAAGGTGGTTTAAAGCAGTACACGATTTAGAAATTTCAGAATAAAGGTGATAATTAACAGGTTCTAATACTAGTTGGAGCCTTTGTGACAATGTAGCCTGGTCTCCTGCACACCACCAGCCTTGGGCTTCCCTGAATTACTTCCCAATTGAATTAAAGCTGATCTTTCAGGGAAAAAAATCAAGCTCATTTAAAAATACTTCCAGGGATACTGAATTCAGTAGGAAACTAGCAACATTATTCCAGTGGCCGATTATTTCCCACTAAATAATGTACGCTCTTTTTCACGCTTGAAGTTGCCTTGTTCAAGATTTCAGCCTCCGGACCTTGTTACAGCTTTGTTGATTTTTTTACACGCAAGCGCTTACAGGCAGATGAAGTTACCTTTTAACCTCGTTTTTTGAAAAGATGCATACATTTAGCTTCTGTACAGAGCATGTTTATGATGCTATAGCTTCCTTATGTGGACAAGACCTAGATATTTCCCTGCCCTGCTGCCTGGTTGTATGTTAACACGATAGCACATATCATGAAGAGCCAGCACGGGATTATTTTTGTCTGAGGAGTGTGCTGCTTCATGTTTCCTGAGTGCTTTCAAAATAAACAGTTATCACTAGTGGAGGTCTGAGGCTGGAAAATAAGCAGCTTTGATGCGTTCCTCGTGTTGGAAAAATCTGCCTGCCTCGGTAGTGTCGTCATGCCCATGTCCTGCGAGGGCTCTCTCTTGCGAGGTCACACACACACACAGACACACACGCAGAGACACAGACACACACACAGACAGACACATACACGCACACACACTCACTCTTTCTCTCTCTCTCTGCTCTGAGGGGAGCCCCTCAGATTACATGGCCTCCTTGAAGGCAAGCAAATCAGCTGTTAACCACCAGCCTGGCTGATAAAATAGTAATAGACTTGGGTGTAGGTCAAACCCAGTGGTGAGATAGAATAAATTGCATTTTCTGGCCACACAAGACACCGGGATGTACTGACCAGCATGTTGGTGTGGGAACAGGACCTTTGTAGGTCATGCAGAATAGGAAACAAAGCAGCAGAAAACACCACCAGTTTTGAGTATTTCTCGATCTTCAGGAAGACCCCTTTGGGATTAGAAATAGGGCTCATTCCACTACCTGGAATGGGAAATGGGGAGAAACCAGCTCAGCAGGGAGGTCATTCCACTGTGTTTAAGGATTTACTGTTCCTTGTGTGTATGGGGATCTGACTTCCAGCTAGCAGAAGCATCCCTGGCACAGATGTTGATCAGGTGTGGGGCTAACAAGTCAAGGCATCAGTCTAGCTTTATATATGTATTAACACATGTACACATGTATATAGAAACAGACATGTTAGAGTATATATATCGGTACACATTCATGTGTGTGTGTGTGTGTGTGTGTGTGTGCTCAGCCTGTATCCAGTCAGTGTGAGCCCACAATGGCATTCAAGCAGGACCAACAACCCCAGAGGGTTCACCTGTGACAAGAGCACTGCTTAAGTGGACCTACTGGTGATTCCTCTGGTTTGCTGCGTACCTCAGCAAAATTAGCTTGAGCCTTCAAGGTTTCAAGCTGGAACTGCAGATACTGCCTGGTAACAACAGGTCTCAGCTGTTGTACTGTTATTTCATATTTGCTGATAATTAATACAGGAAAAGGAGGCCAATGCAAAATCCAAGCCCGATTTATCAGGTCAGAACAGCCGGATCAGGTTTCTCTGCCAGGTAGTAAACATGAATCAGGGTAAGAGAGTAGCAAATCTCTTAGTATTGTCCCCCCCCAAACACCCATTTCTAGCACTGGCATTTCCCGTTATGACACAGCGTCTTTCCAGACTCTCCCTGGTTCATAGGAGAAATGGCCGTGGCAGGGTAGCACTGCTGTAGCTCTCTGTTGTGCAGGATAATAGATGTCTCTGCAGTCACACCATGGACAAACACGGAGCACCTGGGGAATGCAGTGAAGAGGCGGCCTGGTGTCGCTGCAAAACGGGAACAGATTTGGTCTACGTGGATTTACTAGCTGTGGTTCTGTGCCAGCCTTGTTGGCCCAGGCAGCTGCTGCAAAGATGCTTTGGTGCCTGCCCCGTGTGCTGTCCTGCAGCAGCTTGGTGGCACCAGCTGGAGAGCGCTTGGATCCAGCTGCACCCAGCTCAGACACCTTCCTGGACCCCAGGACACGGGGCACTCGTGCAGAGTCTGCTGGAGCTCAGCCCAGAAGGGGCTAACTCCCAGCTGGATCCAAACCAGCTCTGTAACTGGATCAAAAGCAGCACTGCCT